CTCCAACTGAATGTGCTGCACATAGGCCGCCTCATGATTCAGTTGGCACGATATTCGAGATATCGCAGTATATTTTCATGAAGGAAACTACTCACAAGTTTGCTGAAAATTTCGACAGAAACTCGGGGACTGCGCCTACCTGATGAGCCCCAAGAAAGGCGAAACCAGTCGTGGGCTGTCGAAGAGTTTTCAGCAACCTTGTGATTAGTTTCCTGTATGAATACATCAGGTCTTGTTTTATCAGCTTAGCCAAAACACAACATCTGCGTTTGCATGTGGTGTGGATCTACAAGCAAGGTGATCTAACATATCAGGTTTTAGCTCCGGTTTTCTGCCGTTTCACCTTTATGAGCAGACGGAGCGAAAGTTGAGTACTACTCAAAGTATGAGATGAGTGTGTTATATCTGATTGCTGTTCCCGCTCCTAGTGCCGGAAAAAGACCCGCCGATAAAGAACACAACAGGTTTATTGCGAACAAGCGAGTGCAACACTTACAAGGGACCTCACTCTAGTTTAATGTTACTTTCACCGATCCAAGCTGTTGCTGAATTGATTAATTGTTTGATTGATCTGGATGTTTTTTGGCATTCCTATCGAGATTTTGGTGGAGTTTCAGGGTCTCAGTAGGTTCGGGGCGTTACGGGGTTGTTTTCAGGAATCTGACCTTCCTGTTCAGTAAGGCGTTCGCAAGGTAATCAAGCCAGCGGATGCGAAGTTACTTCTCGAGCAGTGATCATCACCATTCCCAACTCGAAGAGTCGTTGCATATGCGAAGGCGTGCGAAACGCTAAAACCAGCAAGGGGTTGATCTGTTACCTATTTCGATTGCAAAACTGTTTATCGCGAAGCCACCTCGGACCTTTGCATCCCAGACAGACTGGCTAGGGAGAATGGAATCATACCTTCGGAAAGTGAAACTCGTTACCGCGCAAAAGTGCCCTTTGTATGCAGTCGGAAATACTTTCACTAGTAAACATGGATATGTTCACATTCATACACAGTTGATCTCCGACTGCCCTTAATAAATCGTTTTGTGGTGCATAGAGCTATCGTATCTGGATTCGCGTGAAGTTTATTTTTCAGCTACTCTGTCTTTAAAAAAGATTGGTTTTTTTGTTAACTCTTGTCTCTTCTTCTAGCTATGGCGACAATACCCAAACGCATTCGAATTTACGGATGAATTGTTATGCTTCCTGGCCCAACACGTATACTACTCGGAATTCGGTAGATTCTTTCGTTCGATTATGTCTCCGTGCTTTATTCGTGAATTTTGTTCATGTGCCACTCCTAATATTGCCTGTTATTTACGATCTAACTTGTTCGCACTGATCTAATGTGTTCCATTGAACTATTCGGGCTGTTTTTGTTCACAGGTTTTCCAAAACGGTGTTTTTTAGTCACGATCAGCTACCAAAAGTTGAAATTATGTTTAGAATTGAGGATATGCGTTCCTGAAAACCCACAGTGAAAGTTACGCTATAGTGATGCTGTCATCTCACCTCTCTTTTATAAGGACAGTTTTCCAAACCCCCAAATTTTTACGTGAAGTAGATCGGAGCCTCTCCCCTACAAGGACCACTGAACCTTGCGGAAGACGCTCTTATCTCGAACTGGAACGTGCAAATTATCAGTAACGCGCCGGTAGTCTTAGTTTAGCCTAGAACTAGCTGTTTTGTATACTCGAGCCGTTTCGCCCTTCGAAACTCTTGACTTAACCCTCACCAAAATGTCAGATCTCATCAGAGTCTAATTGAAGACCACTGTGAATGTCGGTTGTTGTTTTGTTCTTCCGGACGATAGTGGAGGCTTCATTCGAACAGGCGAAAATGCACGGGATTATCACACATGTCTTCACTGGCGGTAGGAACATTACTAGTCGAAGGTTTTGCAAATTGACTGGAAAATCGTGTCCTTTGTGAAGACTTTTCATTCTTAAATTTGTTCGAAAAGATGAATGCAATCATGCAGTCGCTGCGTAGAAACGACACTGCGTTTATTAGACTGTGGTAGGATAAGTAATTGAACTAGCGCGACCACAAGGTTACATGAAATAAGGCAAGATAAGTACTGAGTTAATGAGAAACGCTGTTCACCCGGTGTGGAGACTATCTCCAGACAAAGACCGCTTTTTCAGTTTCTTAGAGATGGTCTTTATGGGAGAGGTGATTGTACTGACTGATCGGACGTTTCACCTTAGGAAGTGAAAGCCAGGACGAACCTTGTCTAGTTCGCTAACACAACATTCCCGAGACGGATCAAAATCATTCTTCTGACTATTGATCATAGATGGTCAAACCGACAATGCGTAAAATCTGCACCCTGTATTTTCACCGTTTTTAAAAATGATTTCTCGACGTTTTGTCGACCTCAACCATCTGCGAGATTTGTTAAAACATCCGATATCCCGAACCATTTGATTGTTATTAACAGCTTGTGTGTCGTTTTACTACCACTCGAGTCGGTTTACTTCAGCCTTATTGACAGTGCATTTAGGTTCTTCATGAACGTCTTTAGTAAACTATGCTGGTGGCTTTGTGCTAGCGTACTAACTGTGTTGGTTAACCAGCAATGGCTGTACTGACGTTTGCATTTTCCCTACCATGGCTTTGCATATCTCTTCATTTAGCCTTTGACGGATAGTGCTTTCTGAAGACAACTAGAACATAGGGTTGACGGAAACTTCGGGAACTATACCTACCTGATGAGCCCCAAGACGGACTAAGCCGATCTTGGGCTGTGGAAGAGTTTTCAGTAACCTTTTGAGGAGCGTTCCTTCAAAAAACATTGCGTAGTTCTCCGTACCGCACATTTCTCAGGGGCGAGATAGCTCAGTGGTTAGATCACGGATTTACTGACTGGAAGGTCCGTGGTTCGTACCCGACCTCTGCTTTTCGACTTCCTCTGTCTAGGCTTGGGCAACCTGGCAGTATCCCAGCCCTCGTGCCTCCTTCGGGTGGCATGACAGTTAGGCACCGAGAAGGTTCTACAGTTGTACGGTTTCCCATGTTGTGTTGATACCTTCGTTCACTCACTTGCACACCTCACCGACAAAAGGGGGTAGGTAGAAATAACTGTTATTTCAGTCAGCAAACATCGTGAAAATCAGTGCCACATAATTCTGTAGGGTTTTTATTAATTCGGATGCCCCATTTCTGAATGTAATATTCATCTGGGGCTCGATATGTTGAGACCCAAACCAGGTTCCATCTCAGTGTCCTCTGTGTTCGGTTGTTGCCTCTAAGTGGAAGCTTTCGTAAGCTCTGTAGTCATTGTCTAATCAGCCAGATGAACAGTGCGCACTGACGGTGTCTGCTCTTTTGGCTACGAAACGTGTGAAAGTTGGTTGCCAAGCTGTTCGAACAGATCAATAGCCACCTGATCAACAACCAATGACCGCACCAGAGCTACTAATATTTTGACACATTGGCAATAGTAAAGTTATTCCACTGTCACACCGTTTGGTGAACGTCAAACCTATTCTTATGTTTTTACGGCCGATTGTGGTCGGCTTTTTGCATTTGACTTCATTTAGGCCAAGCAAAGATCTAGTTAGATCTCGAAAAGCGTAGCAACTTTTGTTTTTATAGGGGTTCATCGAATGGTCGTGGGAAGATCGGACACGTGATCTTTTGGATAAAATCTTCATGCAATTGATAGTTCCGCTTTCATTCAGCCGGTCACTGTTGTTCCACTAGCTTGGAGATGAACGTAGGGTTCATTAGATCAGTGCTCGGCTGCACGTCCAGCCTCCGTGTCACACTAATTAGGTTAGTTTGGAGTTTGGACATTCAAATATCAAGAACCCGTGACTGCGAACCGAAACCCACATAGCGCTGATCAACCACACCATCGGTGGAACAACCATCCGGAGCTCCACTGGCTATTGATAGGTGATACATATTAGGAAACCTAGCTAGCCCATACTGGTTCTGTCTGAAAAAGTTTGCCCACCTGTAGAGGCCACTCATTGCCCTTTAAGATGTAGTGCTCAAAACCAAAACGGAAGGATGTAAATTTTACAGCCTGCAGAAACAAAAAGTCTATATATTCGCACATCCGGAGGTTGGGAGTCAACAGAGATGCTCACTATGCACCAATCAACCTAGATTTTTTTAGCAAAAGCATTCTTCCGGAGAAACAGTTTTCACACACGAGGTGCTGTGTGTGATGTCTTTCTTAAGAATAAGTAAGCCTATCGAGAGGCGTTGTATTCTGTGAAGTTTCACTCAGTAAAATCGAAGTCACCGTTCTTTTATTCCTCCCCCATTTTCTCTCTGAAGGCATGCAGTAGCCTTACCTGTTTGTTTTCTTCACATCTCCAGGAACTTTTCTGGGGAACAGTCCAAAAGATCGAGAAGAACTGAAGGTAGATGAACGAACTACCTCTTTATGGTGAGTTACTGCTTCTAGTTTATCAGGAACTATCTTTAATCACTTCCTAAACCAGGCAATCTCCTAGAGTTTCCGTTCTTTGGATTAGCCGGCCTGTGTATACGGATTACCGTACACTAAAATGAAGGCTACTTTGCGTTGTCAGAAGCGACGAGCCGTTGAAAGATGTTTCAATTTAGTCTAACATATTAACCTTTTGCGTGCCATGGAAACCTAAGCTTAGTCTTAGTACCTAACATTATACAACACTCCATTATCGTACGATTCCCCTACTACGGACCGACCATATGACCAGACGGAAATCACGAGAGATGGAATTTTCTGAAGTTGATCTCATGGATGTATAACCGCCTTTCCTATTCGGCTGAATTATCTATTTTTTTTAGAATTTGACTAGAGACTAATTCATGTACAGCTGCAACATGGCAACTAGGCATGTCAACGATCCAATCAAGTTTTTTGGCCATGACACTCGTTGCACGGCTGCCGCGCAACCCAACGGAAGCTCGATGGCCACAGGACTGCCGATATCTAAACAATAGTAATAAAAAGGCCACCTATTTCACCTTGTCAGGCTTATTCGCCCTTCTGGGTGTACAGCAGTGAAGCACCAGTGTTCTCTGGCTTTGTCGTCAGTGATTATGGCTCCGGTGGCAGCCCACTTTCGACGCTTGGAATGCTAACGAAACTCAAAGAGATTGGGAAAACCACCTGCTCATAAATATGCCATATTCAAAACCGTGATATTCAGTAATAAGGAGATTTTGCGTTTTCATTCACGGCCAGTGTTACCTCCTTTATAGGGTTTATTTAGAACAGCCCAGTGTTCTTGCAAACTTCAAGAATCCCCTATATTGTGCTGACAAGGATCGCGACACCACAAACTACGCATGTTGGCCATGTTTGGCTCCACAGGCTCTGGTGAGTTTGTAGTAGGTGCTTATTTCAAACATTTATCTTGTGATAATGCTCGCTACAAATGAAAGCTGCCATCATTATTTTAGAACTTTTAGCTATGGTTGTTATCTCCTTGCTATTCTTCCCAAAATGTATCCAGTCTGTTCGCATAAATTTCAGAGATTCTCACAAGTCCCACCCACTATATTCTGGTAATTTTTTTTATCAGAATGTCCTTCATCACTCGCAGTCAGACCTCCAGTGTCTTCATAATGAACCAATAACCAGCAGTGCTGGAGTTCTCGTGCTTCTTTCATATTCAGTTTGGAGGTGGACTGGTAGATCGTACTAGCTAAGGGGCAGGAAATAAGGACAGATTTCACCGCCTCCCAATGAATAACAATTTCCGGAGAAATGTAGTCATTTTCAAACGCGAAATTCGCTCGAGTCCCGCAATAAAACCGACCTAATCTGCGCTTGAGTGCAGTTTGCCACTTACGTACAATTGGCGCTCACGTTGGATTCAAAGTTGGTGCAATTTCGGGGGCACAAGAAGTTGGTTTGTCGAGGGGTTTTCTGCAAACTTATGAGTAGTATATCATGCGTAGATAAGCTCACTGTTGACGTGATCCATGAAAAAATTCTAATTCCATGAGGAAAGACCATTCGAATGAACGGAATATTAGGTTTGTATGACGACGATTTTCTTAGCTGTATGGGAATCTGCTCGTTGACTATCACTCTGACTGGATTGAACTTGTTCGGTGAATGCTATTCGTAATTCACTCTCTCACTCTTGTCGAGTTATTCGGTTGGACCTACAACATCCTTGAATGGCAAAAAAAAATCTGGCCCGTACATTGGTTGGTCTACAATTACGATCCGACTAAACGGATAATTCCCTCTCTTTCTAGAGTAGCTTCTGACTTCAACAAGGTCAGTTGCGGCGATCAGTGAACCATATTAGAAAGAGGTAACTTCCGATGTTTGTCCATAACACCATGGGTTATCAATTTTGCTGTTCGGGTGTGTAGACCTCTTCATTCTGGTGCGATGTGTACTACCAGAAAAACGAATTTTGGATGCTCTGTGGACCATTAACTTCTTAAATCAGCTTAGTGGCTGCTGCCCATAAAAGCTGCCAAATTGAAATATTGCGAGAAGTTACTAGGGGACAGTTGATCTTTGCGGACAAATCACCAAGGTGAGAAGTTCCGGAACCCGAAATCAGTCCATGCTAGGATTCCTGGACACCCAAGTTCAGTTAACACCTGTAGTTTGTTGCCAAACCCCTTACTGAGAATCTTAATTGATATACCTCGATCAGATAGGCGTAGTGAAAGATACAATAAGGCCAAGTGATGTGCGCCGGCGAGTCAATATCTTCATTTCAAAAGTTCGATGATAGGACGCGCACTTGAAAATTACATGGCAATTAAAGGATGTGCTGTGATATTGCTAAAAATGATGGGTTTTGTGATGTGTGCTTAATTACTAGCTCAAGCTAGGCTGTTAACTACTTTCAGGGGAAGAGTTGCACTTTTGTGTGAAGACATGTTTTTGACAGGCAGTGTAGCAACGATGGTCTTCTTCGTTCAGTTGTGTTCCAGAAGGACATGGGAAAACCAAGCCTTTGCGAAAATCATCGTAATCAAACCAACCTTTCTCCCAGTATCCCATTCCCCTCATCCTTGTGAGTAGCGATCAAACAGCTTGTATTTTCTGGGTGGTTGGCTTTCATTCCTACCCAACAGATAGTATTCTCTTCGCTCAAAATTGCAACGAATATGGTTGTTGGTCGTTTGCAATCCAACTGCCAAGCTCGGCGAACAGACCAACAACCAAGCAGCGCACTCGAGCTACCTACATTCCACAACATTGCAACGAATACGACACCCGAATGCTTGTTTCGGTACCTGAATTATCGGCCCAGCATGTTACTAGATATTTGTTAGTTTACTTATGACTTCCACAATCTATGCTCCGTCGGTGTGTGAGGAAGACCAGTTTTTTCCTTGTTTTACTCAACAGAACACATTTATCCTCTTTTTTGGTAGAGCAATAGCTCTTTTCAATAGAATACTTCTACTGACACATTCGGCAGTCTTTTGATTTCCATTCACAGTAACTAGACCGGAGAGATTCTCTGCGTCTTGGTCCTGCAGTTGAAATAAAACCATCCTTTCTTTCAGGAGCTTTGGCGTGAAGTGTATCTGAAGCAGCAGTATACCGAACCGGAGCCCATATGGGCCAAACCTCGTCAGCTGAATCGTCTGATAAAAGAACAATTTTTCGCTGAACTTGAGAAAACTCGCCATTTGCGAAAGTGAGTTCAATTTTCATCACATCTGTGTTCTGTGGCTTCGAGTTAGGCTCATTCGGGTATTCCTCCAACATCTCGGCACCTAAGGAATTGAAGTGATTGGGTTCTTATACCACTTATACGCAGTTAGTATGTATTCACTTGTGTTCGCCGATGGTCGTGCATTTTTACTGGTATAGTCAGGAGTTATTTTCGCTCGACTCGGAGTATGTCGTTCAAACAAACTTAATTTTGCGCTAACAGCAGGAACACTGAGAAGTTTGGCCTTTGGGGACATCAACTAAGCTGCCTTGTCGTTCACAAGTTCATACCTGTAAACTGTCAACTGGATAGTTCCGCCCCAGATTTACCAGTGTTTCGACTGAAATGCTCGAACGGTGAAGAAACCCCAACCCGTTAGCTACATCTTTTGTGCTTGAACCTAGGTGTCATCATGGCGCCCCTTCAGTGTACAGCAGTGTATTCAACCGGAAGAGTTAGGTATATATACTGTCAGATTGTAGGAGACATCGAAAAGTTGGAAGTGAGTGGGCACCACAAACCTGTCAGTCAGTAGCTTTATTATTTAAAGGCAACAGCATCTGTATCTAGTTTTCCATGCTCACCGATTGAACACGACCAAGCCTGTTCTCCGCTATCTGTAGGTTCATCCCTCCCGCACACATCCTCGTTTTTCATCGAACCCTTAATGTTAAAAATCGTTTACCCCCTCCCCCACCTTTAGCACGTTGTTTTAACGTTTTTTATGTCTTTTTTGTTCCTTTTGTATATGTGACCACCTGACGTGGTTCTAGACTATTGAATTCGCTTCAACAGGAAGCTCGTTCTGCAGGGTTACTTACCAAAGTATCCAAGACTTGAAGCCCCTCTGTCGATACTGTTGGGTACATCGCTTTGGAGAACCTCGAGACCCATGATCAACGCCAACTCCTCGGCTCTCGAGTGTACAACTTCTAACAATGATTTTAACTTTTTATATCATTTTTACTACATACTATGTACTTGTTCTTTCGTGGCGTTTTTCTTTATGCCAAGTCTACTTCTCTCCAACCACAACTAAACGTCCGTAGGATTGTGAATTTATCCGCTTCAACTGTGATACGACCTCTATCACTGCATCATATGTCGTGTTTGAGGGTTGTGGGTCTGTTTGCGTGACTCTTTTCCTAGCAAGGATTCAAATACATTACGCATACCATTGTTATACCATGACTCTGTTCTTGGTAAACTCGTTGGCGGTACCGACCGAACAAGTCTCCGTGCTTTTTTACTATCATGCAAATGAATGCAGATTGGTTGGGCGTAGGTGTACCACCTGTTTGGTGCCACCTTACACCAGTGGATCGTGATCGCAACTGCGATGGATTGCTCGGGCTATCAACACTAGGACTCCTAATTACTTTCATAGATAATATTCATTGGCTAGGCCTCTGCAATGTGGAATGGTTGAGTTCTCACAGCTTTAAACCAAAGCTTGTTTCGGACATTTCAATCCAAATTGTTTCACCGGTTTGGGCGCTACGAGAATCGGCTTTATGTGATTCTGTATTGCTCAGTCTAAACCAGAAAGAAACAGTTATACTATTTTAATTAGAAGACAGTTTTTTAATATAAGGGACAGGACCAGAATCGCCAATGAGCAACTGTTTGAACATCATTGCTGAAATTTGTTGGTTCTACTTGAAAACGTTGTGAATCAGACCATCTCCCCGTGCGTTACACTTTCCAACATGGTGAGATGTACGCTACCGCGTATAAATCTGTGTAAGTTCTGGTTGTAAACACGGACGAACGAGATCACTTAGGTGTCTACTATTTCAGCGTGAAGCCGATTGGAGATGGGAGCGCAAGTGTTTTTGCATTACCTCAGAAAAAACATGTTGGCGAATATACACTCATCTGCAAACTAATTTGGTTCTTTCGAGAGACTCACCTGGAACCCAGCTGAATCTCTCATTTATGATGTTCTCAGGCAATTGAATGTGCTGCACCAGGCCGCCTCATGTTTCAGTCGCTACGATATTTGAAATATCGCGGTACATGTATATTTGTAATGTACTGCTCATAAGGTTGCTGAAAATCCATCGACAGCCCACGACCGGTTTCGCCCTTCTTGGGGCTCATCAGGTACATCATAAACGAGAGATTCAGCTGGGTTCCAGGTGGGTCTCTCGAAAGAACCAAATTAGTTTGCAGATGAGTATATATTCGCCAATTTCGTGCAATTTGGTTTCAAGTAGAACATAAGGTTGACGGAAACCCGGGGACTGCGCCTACCTGATGAGCCCCAAGAAGGGCGAAACCGGTCGTGGGCTGTCGATGGATTTTCAGCAACCTTATGAGTAGTACCTTACAAGGACATGTTGTTTTGCTTTAAGGTTCACTTACATTCGCCTATTTGTTTGCTCTGTACGTGTGCGCATCTTCGAATGCATATTTCCCGTTTCCCGTGCGTATTTTTGCTAACTGAGAGTGAAATAGTTTGTCGGAGGACTCTCGAATGAAAATATTTACTTCTGAGTTGTAATCAGCTGGTCCTCGTAAATATACATACTAAGATGAAGTGGTCGCAACGGTAAAACGCTTCGAGATAGCACGGTCGGATTGTATCCAGACAATGCAGTTATGCCAGGGAAGTGTGGTGAGTTTCATTTAGCGGTTGACATGGCAGCGAATGGGCCACAGAGTTTAGTCGAAAGAGTGGAACTCGTTGACATACTTTTTCGGAACGTGATTGATCCTAGAAAGATGTACAGAGCGTCCATTTGTGCAGGCACAGATGGGGTTGCATAGAACCGTTCTTTGCGCGTAAATCTCATCTGTGACTGAACTGAAACTACCTCTGCTGTGTAGAGTATTTTGAGGCTAATTATATGTGCCAGTCTGGTGTTGGCACGTTGGATGACAGTTCTATTCTCTAATGGCCAGAATAGGCTCACACGGTGCCTGTGTGGCGGGACATCGAGGATTTACTCGACACGTTTCCAGAAGTTGGCTATCTCTCTAACGGTTCGAGGCAAAGGTGTCATCCTGATCGATTTCTGGACGAAAAATAAACCTGCCTGCGGGAAAGCGTGGTAACAAGAAGGCGGCACAAAAGTTGCCTTGTCAGCGAAAGTCATTAAGAGGCTCTTCGACTTCGTAGCCTTCAAACCAGAAACTGCGCGGAGCATTTGAGACTGATTTATGGCCAGCTAAGTTGCATCTATCCTGATCCAGTCGTTCATCATCGGGACGCATGCTGAGTGATCGAGTTTCCCAACTAGGCAGATCTATGTACGTATTCCCACTGCTTGCTTCCCGTGAAACATAATACATGAGATGAGGACGTTGTCTAACCGTGTAAGGGGAACATAATCCAAATTCGCTAGCTAAAGAGTTACACGAATAGTCATGCGGTCGGTCTTGTAGACACGCTTCCTCGAGCAAATAACGAAGCAGGATCCATCGTCATATCAGTTAACAGCAGCAAGCTACCAGGCGTAATAAGATTCATAGTATTTTCTATAGCAGAGGTAGTTTGTTTCCAGACTTATAGCCCAGATTTATGTACATTGAACCGTTCTCTACAACCCCTTTCCTTGTCTATGCTTACATCAAGGTGGACTGTTCACACGACAGATCACCGTTCTTGAATTCCGAATGTGCGAATTTCACTCATCCAATTAACCCCATTGCTTGTGCGCCACCATGTCAGCCGTCGGGTAGGTCTGAAGGTCATACTGTGTTAGCTGTTTTTAATGTAACTCTCTCTCTCGTGAAACGTGTTGTAGTTTCGGTCGTTTAACCACCATCCATATATTCGTATTTTTATCCCTGGATTTCTGGGTAGATAAGACATCTTTGAGGTTGCAATCTCCAAAATTCAGGCGCCTATGCTTGTTGCGTTTTTATGAAGCTTCTTCGTTTGTTCAAGTGAGCGAAAGATTCAGGTCGACGAATACCGCGAATCAAAGAACTGTTTAATAAGCTACAATATCTCAGCTTACCAAACGTTGTGGACAGAGGTTATGAGTTATTCTGCAGCCATAATAATTTGTAGAGGTTGATACAGCCCTCAGCAAATCTTTTGAGGCAAAATATGCGGGAGGATCACAGACACCTAAGTAGCTAGTATCCCTCACCCGGCTAAACTGACACGGAAGCCGGTGTCCCTCTACCTGGAAAAGCGTTATTATTATTATTATGGTAGGAACACTGACTAACTTGTGGTAATTTCTGGGAGGTTGGGGGAACGTAACATCTTCAGCGTAGAACTTCTACACTTGATTCCATCAGATGGAGTTAAACGCGAATGTTATAAATTTGAGATGCATTGTGGATGTGAATAAAGTTTTGTCTACCAAACAGCTTGATATCGCCCATGAAGAATTCAGATCGGGTTTACTGATGACTGTAATACAGATGGCGTTCAGTATGTCTTCGGCAGTGAACGCTCCTATCTGATTTGATGTCACAGATGTTTGTCGTGAGCTGCTACGTATAATACTAACGATTAAACTCTACATCAAATCAAAGAAAACTTCAATTCTTTGAGCAGCCTGTCACCACTCACGCTGTACAGCAAAGGTACCCTGGCTTGCAGCCAGGAGAAGTCAGTGGTCCAGCCTGAGAGAAGTGGAAGGTTGAATTTTAATGGGCTTTCTGAAGATGGCATATATTCTGGTAAGAATGTTCATGAAATCTTTGGTGCGCATTGCTCACTGGGCTAATGGTGCTCCGGAGTGAGCGGGAGAAATTTGTCAGTTTATCAAAGTATCACTAAGAAGTCGGCCTGGCTGACAACAACTACTAACTTTATAAATCACCGTGCTCGCTTGTCATATCAAACAAACCGCTCGTACTATGTATTATTTTGTCGTTGATGTCTCCTGAATAGCAGGCCAATAAAATACGAATTCCATAAGGCTTCAGTATCCATAATCTTTGGTGTTTGCTATAAAGCCTGAAAACGTAATAAGATAGGAGTTGAACAGTGTTCAACATTAGAAATATCACCGCCGTGCATTATAACATATGCAGATATTTTCTTTGGTGGCGTCACTGCGTGAAGAAACTACAATCCAATCAGGGTTCTACGCCTAATCGGATTGAAGTTTTTTTAATAGTTTTATTTTTCAATGGAAGGACGTATCTAAAATAACTTTATTTAGTACAGCTGGTCGTGGCACTATCCATTAGCATTCATCATATGGTCAGAGTTTATAGAATGACATTCCAACTCTCATGACCCCCAGGGCCATGGAGCATGCAAACGATGCTACCACGTCAGTGACGCGGTAAGGTTGGTTAGGCGGGCCTAACTAGGACCGAGCGTGCTCGGCTGTACGCTTGAGATAAATTCACTCTCGTCTTCTGTTTACCGAGTTGCCAAAGTGAATCATCCCATAGTGTGTGTGTGTGTGTGTGTGTGTGTGGATACAGCCGGCGATCCGTGAGGTAAGAGGCCAAACGCGGATCTAGGTGTCTCCAAGTCGTGACATAATCCGTGTGCTAGTATGCTGATAGAAAGAAGACCTACAATGTGACATTGCCTAGACGGGTACCATGACGAATTATTTGTCGTTTGTTGATGAAGTGTCTTTATAACAGGATTACATGAATGGTATATAGTTTGCGCATGCTTTCCTATGGCTTCACAAAACCGAAAACATCACAATACCACATCACAGTCAGAAAGGACAATGGCCAACAGCCATTCTCGCCAACGCTTGATAATTCACTCCTGAAAGCGGACTGGTCGCTTTCCACAAAACACATGGCCAGATGGTCAATTTCAGCGCCATCTGTGATTGAGAAGTTCGGTACATCAGGTAAGTTAAGAGGACACCATGGAAATAGGTTAGTATCGTGTTGTGTCAATATTCACGGCGTCTGGGAAACATCAGATCTTCACAATTTGCTGCTCTCCGGCGAAGCAGAATCGCTGTGGTCGGCTTTCCCCTACTGCGACACTAATGTTCGTACCCACTCCCGAAGCTTCGTCAGGAGCGAAGGCATATCACCAGCCATAATGAAACCAAACAATAATTCATTTACCCAACAGGACAGGTCGACACTTCCCGAGGTATTGCAGGTGTTCCGAGTGCGAAGGACTTCACCAAATTCCTGAACCGAAAAGTGCTTTGGGCTTTTCGCTGACTGCTCACCCAAACGCTCCATACGGATCATTCAGGTGCTCG